TAGAAGTCACTATCTAAAGGACGTGTCTGCGAGATAGGGACTTGAACGTCCGGGTACGTGGCTGGTCAGGAGCAGAGATAAGCAGATCAGGTCCAGGAACGGTAACATTATCTCACGAGCATGGCTCCCATATATTGCCTAACAGAGATCTAGAAGGTACTACCGAAAGGACGTGTCTGCGCTTCAACGTCGTAAACTGGAATAGATTCCCCCCTAACGTGGCTAAACATAGCTTCCATATTGTCTGGCAGATTAGAAGTGATATTTGGCTCCACCGGAGCAAAGATAAACAGAGTTACATCACAGCGTCATCCCACACCCAAATGGCTGCGGCACAAGAACCCGTTTCTGATAGTCGTGGCGACCCTTCTGCAGCACTCTGCCTACGTTTCGAAAAATGGACGATTTCCTGCCTTGATGAAACCCGTCCAAAAATGGCTGCAGTCTTTGAGCCCAAGCTTGTTTGAGAAGGACAGCGAACCCTACCTGGATCAACAATCCCATAGTGTTTGCCTTGCATGTGTTCCACCATGTCATCATCTGCCATGTTCGTTTCATACTGCAAACACCTCCCGCCTACAGATCCTTGACCGGGTCTGCAGCATCGGCCCCTAAATGGCTGCGGTCTTTGAGCCCAAGCTTGTTTGAAAAGAAAAGGTAATTGCCAGGGTCAACCGTCCCATCGTGATACCTCCAGCAGTGGTGGCGGCCCTTCAGCAGCCACGATTACTTACAAAGGCCCTTGAACCATCGAATACCACATCATCCCTTCCCCTGATGACTCTGCTTCTCTCTGCTCCAGTTGGACCTTATATTTGCGACGTTCCAGGCGATATGGAAGCTATATTCAGCCACGTTGAGGGAGAGCCGTTCTGGGGCCGACAATATGGACGATATGTCGAAAACTTCTTTTCATACTCACTCCCTTGGCTCCAAGAGCACAAGCAGCTCGGAACTCGGTGGATGTATTGTCCCCTTCCATCCGGTGCGGGCGGTTACCGTCGCGAAGCGACGTGAATATACAATATAGTTTAATGAATCTACTAGTTCCGCTGCACTTCCAAGCGGGTCTTCTCCAGCTCTGTCTCCCCAAGAAATGACTGGGCTGCCTCAGTAGCATGTGGCAATGGCATGCAAGGGCCATGATTCGAGGTGCCAAACTTAATCACATACTAGATCATACTAGTGATAGTACGTCATCAATTCTGGTTGAGGTTGGATTCAAAAAAGTATTACAGCCTCCTTCCCGGAAGCCTCTCCCAATGGCTCCTGTGCTTTGGCCCCGGCTGAGCTCTGGCGCTCAGGGTCTGCCCTTGCCTCCAGCAGCAAGCCGCACAAGGACAGGTCGCCCATGCACACGGCCTGGGGCAAAAAATGGCAAAAGGAACACCTGATCGACCATGACAAAATCGAAAAGGTGTTTCATGTATTCCACCGACTTGTCCGAGACAACTTTCCAAACCCTCCAAAAAGTGCTTCGCAGCCCTGAAAGCTCTGCGACATCACCTCAAAAGCATCACTCGCAATCAATAGAAACAGCAGGCACCTCCATGAGAGCTGTCTCACCCTCTGAATCTGCTGTGTCCGGCTGGGCCCGCATGACCAAAAGCTCGCGAACCACGGCTAAGCGATTTGGCAACTCAGAGGTGCCCAGGCTGCCTCCGCAATTCGCAGGGGTTCTGGGCGATGGACAAGACAAAAAGACATGAAGTTTCCATTAAAGGCCAGCCGCTCCTTCTGGATCATTGAGAATGCGATAGTGATGGTAAGTTAGTGTTGCTCTATGCATGTAATCATGCCAGTTTCTTTCTGAATCCGTGTGAGGAAAATCAGAGAGGAATTGTCCATATCTAGGGAGGAATGATCCATTGCAACCAACAGTGGAAACATTTCATGCTGCCTCTGCCGGCTTCCCCTTAGCCCAACCGGGCCCAACCTTATGGTCCAAATTTTCCACTCAGCTTTGAGGCCCACACACACACACAAGAGTGACTTGTGCCCTGGCCCTACACAAATTTTGCAATTGGTCTCGAACTTGTGCGCCACTGGCTGCTGGCAAGCAATTTAGAATAGTCGCGATACCCCACGAGCAGAACAGAATTATCGAATCCATCGAATCTCGTTTGAACAGTGCGATGGTTGATTTGGGTTGAAGTCGGCAAAACCTCTTGCCTGCAGCGCGCACTGCCAGCATAAGTGGCGTATCTCCATGAGTGCTTGGCAAGTTCACTTGGGCACGCTGCTCCAGCAAGCGGCGGACTTCTTGTCGTTGATGTTCAGGTCCTTGCCCCCCACGTCAACAAGAACGGTCAAGGAGTCATTGGAAAAAGAATGATCTAAAGGTCTATGTCTAAAACAATCAAACAACGAAATCAGGAAAGCAAACGGGTGAGAAGGCAAAACCTTAATAGAAGTCTTGACAGTAGTAGGGCGCCTTTTTTATGTGCTCTGTTCTTTCTTTCTTCTATATTATGTATATATGTGTGTGTGACGTGTGTGTATAGAGACCTTGCGTTTTCATATACAGTATTTCTTTCTTTGTCTTTCATGAGGTCAGTCCTTTTCCATTCCGACCGCCCCTCCCCTTCCTCAAACTATTCCAAGCCTTTGGGACAATGACAGCCAGCCTGTTGACTTGATGTCTTTCAAACGGCGCCGGCACAATGTTGGACAGTGAGTAAATACTTTACGAACGCGACCATGACTAAGAACATAACTGGCAATCACAAAGCAAGGTCCTCCGTCCAAGTTTGAGACAGCTTGATGCAAGGCGGCCTTGTAGTGAAGCAGGCTCAATGACTCAATCGTCCCACCGCACACCAATGTATCAGTAGAGAAGAATGGCAGAAGTTCAGGCATTGGATCTGTAAACAGCCCTGAGAGGCTGATTGCAAACAACATTGAAAGGGAGGACTCTGGATTCTCCTTCACGTTTTGAAACGATGCCTCCAAAGGCATTTCAAGTCAAAAAATGCAAAGCCGAAAAGGCTTGGCGACTAGTGGCCTCCAATGTCTTTGCGCAAAGCTGTCGGCCTTCCTCTGTGTCCAAAAGAAAGTCCTTCCATGGTGAGCAAGCAGAGTAAAACAATGTAAAACAGCCATTGTTGCAGAGTGATTCAGGTTTTCCTTTCCACCTAGAAATGTCCAATTCACACACACACACACAATGCTCATGTCAGGTATTCCCTCGCCCCTCCAGGGCGGCTTCAGCAGTGTCAAACCGCTGCAGGGCAACCTTGCAAGCCTCCTGACATGGAATGAAGCGATGAACAGCAAATGCTCCAGAGTAGCGTCCTTGCTCCTAGTAGCGATGCCAGGAGCCCCTAGGAGCTTCTTGTTCCTAGTAGAGGAGCCCCTAGTAGCGTCCTTGCTCCTAGTAGCTTAACCGCACTTTTGAATATGATGCAATATAATAGCTTCCAGCTTTTGACCGTCCGTATGCTGAAGATTTTATCGCTGACCACTTGTGCCGTGGTCACACACAAACAACCTTGATTGCATCATTCATTCCTTCATGAAACTAGCAACATGGGTCAACCCGAGCACACGGGCAAACCTGAGGCAAGTGCCAACTTCAAAACAAGGAACTCAAGCTGACTTCGACATATTTCAGAACGGTTTGTCAAATATGTATCCCCATCTTCTAGTCGACTTTGGCGGGTGACATTCTTCCCCCAACTGACTTCCCATTCCCCCACCAGTGGCAGGTCGTGAGCTTCCAATTGGGCCAGCACATCTCCATTCGTCCTGTTTTGCGACGCTCAGATTTAACAGTTTTGAACTGTGAATGGCGCCTCAACACCCTCATCATCCTGGCACAAACTGCAATGTTGCCAGGTAACTTCGATAGACTTTAACATGCATAATTGATCGTGATTGTATAATTAATTATGTGGCACAGGCCCCAGATGGTGCAATCCGAAAGATATTTAGAGTTACCTTCCAGTCCAGTCGCAAAATAACAAACGATTGGCCAAGTCAACCAGCACAAGAATAAGCCATATCAAGCCATCCTCTCCATTGAGAAGCTGCTTGGGAATCTGGGCCAACGGTGCCGCCACCATGGCGATCCACTAGGATTGCGCTGTTAAACTGACATTATTCGACCGCTTTACTCTGACTTAGTCTGCAGTGCAATTCTTTCAAGGAGTTTTCAGTCTTACATGATGATGACAACTCTTCTCCCTCTCATTCAGAAGAATGCTCTTGCGCACAGGCCACATATTGACCTCCTTGATCCTCCTTGACCCAAGTGCGCAAAGGAGAATGACGTGCCCAACTTACAGCAGTCCACCCAACTGATCAATCATGAATCATGATGACAACATATGTGTATAATTCAGAATAAATACATATATATATATAGATACATGTAAATGACATGCCCGGCATGTTAAAAAGTGGCCATCTCTAGCATTACGATCAAGAAACTGACAAGGTGGTAGTTGCCAAACACCAGCTGAGTTGAACATACATACAACCTAAACCTGCTTGACGTTTGTAGTTGTCAAGAATGCAAGTCCGCAAGCAAACAGCATTCGCATGATAGCAGTGGGCTCAAAACTATCTCAGCGCGAAACAGACACATCCCTGACCATTTGTCGCATGGCATTCTCAACATCACCCTGCAAGCATCGCGGTTTGCAGGCTGTTTCGATATGCTGCCATTGATTCCCCGGAGCATTGAATCAATGTAACTAATTACAGTAAATTGAATTCCTACAGGGCACAACATGGACTACACAGCAAAATGAGATCGTGTAAGAATCCGATTAAGGTATTCCTTCCAACTTGATTGAAGAATAGCCATGTGGCCTCCCTAGTGGACCCCGCCGCAAGACTCCGGAATACCAATCTCCTGGAAAATGCCGCGCAAGCGATGCAAGGCCGCTGCAACAACGCTGGTCTCCTCCCAACAGAAACAAATTGTATCAAGCTGCTCAATGTTGTTTCCCTCCCCCTCTCTCTCATCCATTGACTCAGAAAACCATAGAAAATCCATCGCCAAGCGGCCTCCTGCAGCTCCGCTAGCTTTGCGGCCACTGCCACCTGGGCACCTAATGGGGCCAATGCGGATGGAAGCGCAAAGGGTGGATGGTGGATAAAAAACATAGTTTGAACGATTTGAAGAGTACAACGCTTCGATGCCGACTAAAATCAACAACTGTATGGCTGAAACAGCCAGCTCAAAATCCGGGTAGGGTAGAGTGACGACATGTTTTTCTTCCGAAAGTTTTGCTTTCCACCGTTAACACGGAGGGGTTAACTCAGTGCCAGCTTAAGTCATGGTAACTCTTGGGGTCAAGGCAAAAAATACGCCCCAAACCCTATTCAACAAAGGTAATGCCACCATTAATTTTCTTACTTCAAGTCAAACGCAAATACGTTTCACAAGGTAAACACCGCTGTAACGCTAAAGCGTTACCATGATTCAATGATAAAGGCGATAAAGGCGACTGTTTAAGTTTAAACACCATGTATATACGGGCAACCTGGTCACGTCCGAACACCTAATTATAAACACAATGGCGAAAGCAACAAAATGTCTGGACGTGTGTGAACATTAGCCGCTGTCAAGCAGTTTCCCCACAGCACGCACTCAGAGATGTATCAGCCCAATCGCATTGCACATCAAATGACAGCCATGACAAACACCAAAACATGTTTGAGCCATTCAGCCCTTCAAGGGGAACGATCAAAGCCACAACTTTAAGACTCTAAACACAGTAGATAGACTGATAGACTCACACACATATATATCTTCGCGGCCCAGCACTACCTGTCCCAAATCTCGTCCTCGCGTGCAGGGTGATCTGACAAGCCCTTTCCGCGCTTGTGGCGAAATTCTGCATGAAAACAAAACAAAAATTTTCGGTCCAACACATAGGTTCCTTGAATGTTTCTACTCAATGCTAGATGAAAGACCGAGGCAAAACGGCCGAGCAACCCATGCTGGATGTTTCCATTTCCTGCCTGCCGTCTCTTGGCAATGTCGCAACGTTGTTTCACAAAGCTTTGACAACCTTGGGGCAAACTATGTGGCTCTTACGGAAATTAGGTGCCCAGTGCCTGTCTAAAAAATTGTTTGAACTCTTTGTTTGATTTCTTTTCTCTCTCCCTCTCTCTCACGACATCTCTTTGAGCGAGACGTACCGGCTATCCGCACATTGAGCAAAGTCGGAACCAATGTTTGCTCACTATGTTTGCTACATTCTTCAGTTTGCAACATTGCTGTGGCCACGGCCCAGCAACGGCAGCGTAAAGTTCAGATTCTGTCTTGCCAGGCTGGTCCTAGAAAAATTATTTTCTGTCCAGATTTTATTGCTCGACTGCAATTTGCCAAGGCAATTTTGGGTCTAGTCGCCATACACTCGGAAACATTGAAAGGCAAACTGGAGGCCAAATTCTAAGGTGACAGAACTGGAGTTCAAGCCGCACGTTGCATTGCCTCAACCTTTTTCAATCTCTTCTTCGCATGGACCGCAACAGTTGGTTCTCTTGCAATGGGTGTCAGCCACCATGCACGATCTTTATCCTGGAGCGCCAAAGCTAGCGTATGCAATACAGTGGACATCTGCCCTCGTAGTGCAGCAACCTACACAGGAATGACATGATGAACCGTGCAGCGGAAACATCACAAAATGCACGTGTGATGGCACAAACCAAATTTGCGAAATTAACTGCACTACACCATACCTGGAAAACGACATAAGAAGTGCAGTCAGCAGCCACGAGGGATTCAAGTGATGTGCTGTCACCCAGCCTCGTCCAACACTGCCCGCCCTCAGAAGGGAGATCAAAGCGATCAAACATCTAGAAGATTGGACTGCATCCATGACTTCGTGATACCTCTTGGAAAATCATGATGAGTCCAACAAGCTGCTCAGCAGGCTGCAAACAACATATGCGAAGTCTTACGCGTCATATTGCATGGCTCGGTGTAGCCAATGAAGGAGTCCTTCGAACACCAGTTTTGAGGTGCTGGCTCTCATCGGCGGTGACCTCACAGACACGCAGGGAGTCTTACTACATCAGCTGGAACCCTCCGGACGATTGAAAATTTGCGCGTTGACCCTATGGGCCAATTGGCCCCCACCACACACACACAACAGAGTTGCATTGATGCGCAGAACAAATCAGAACGAGTAATCATATACGTATTTGAAGAAGTTTGCATCACTTATATCCAGATTTGGCAACACTGGCAGCATTTGGCATCGCAACAAATGTCCAGGACTGGTGGTATTTGATTGTATTGTATTTTTCTTAAAGTAAGGAATGGCCGATCATCCTAAAGCCACCTCAGCACCTGAGTTCCCGGAACATGCAACTTGCATCGCTGAAATCGAAAACGGTTTGTAAAACAATCGTGAATGGCATTGGGTCCACACACGCAACACTGAAACAAAAAGTCAGAAGAAACTGGAATCATGGGTTTCCCCCCTGGTTGCGTGCACAAACTATTCAACCGGTTTTCTGTGTTGCGTTTTTTCATCTCTACTTTTTTTTTGGGGTTTCGGCCGCTAGTCCCTTGGGGAGAGGTGGGCTACTTTGCCTCTTCGACCGTTGAAACACAGCTGGCGTCAAACAAGGCTCCTAACAACACATTATACAAGTTATACTATATATAATGTAATATGATGTAATATGTATTGACCAAAGGAAAGTTTAGTGTGCAAAACTTCCGTGTTACGGACATTCAACAGCTGTTTCAATACAGCACTCATCATACACCACTCATCATACATCACTCATCATACACCACCCATCATACACCACTCATCATACGCCGCTCATCATACATCATACACCACTCATCATACACCACTTATCATACACCACGCCCGCTCATCACACACCACTCATCATACACCACTCATCTTACACCACTCATCACACACCACTCATCATACACCACTGGTGAGATGACTCAGATTTCGTGGCAGGTGCAGCACTTTGTGAACCTCCATGTGCAGATTTCGTGGCAGGCGCAGCACTTTGTGAACCCCCATGGCAAGATTTCGTAGCAGGTGAAGCACTTTGTGAACCTCCAGGTGCAGATTTCGTGGCAGGTGCAACACTTTGTGAACCTCCATGTGCACATTTCGTAGCAGGCACAGCACTTTGTGAACCTCCATGTGCAAAATTCGTGGCAGGCACGGCACTTTGTGAACCTCCAGGTGCAGATTTCGTGGCAGGCGCAATGCAAAATGCGTTTTGGAGAGATAGCGGACGCACGAAATGCTGTATTTTGCAATAGAACCGGTGGCTTCAAACCTGGCAAGTCTAGCTCTGCGAAACGACGGGTGCGACGGGTGCGAGACGGTCTCGGGTCATGCTCGGATCATTCTCGGGCATGGTCGGAATCGTCCCTCCATTGCGATTAGAGTTTTCACTTGTTTCTTGAAGTGCAGATTTCGTGGCAGGCACAGCACTTTGTGAACCTCCATGTCCTGATTTCGTGGCAGGTGCAGCACTTTGTGAACCGCAGATTTCGTGGCAGGCACAGCACTTTGTGAACCTCCATGTGCAAAATTCGTGGCAGGCACAGCACTTTTTGAACCTCCAGGTGCAGATTTCGTGGCAGGCGCAATACAAAATGCGTTTTGGAGAGGTAGCGGACGCACGAAATGCTGTATTTTGCAATAGAACCGGTGGCTTCAAACCTGGCAAGTCTAGCTCTGCGGAACGACGGGTGCGAGACGGTCTCGGGTCATGCTCGGATCATTCTCGGGCATGGTCGGAATCGTCCCTCCATTGGGATTAGAGTTTTCACTTGTTTCTTGAAGTGCAGATTTCGTGGCAGGCACAGCACTTTGTGAACCTCCATGTCCAGATTTCGTGGCAGGTGAAGCACTTTGTGAACGTCCATGTGCAGATTTCGTGGCAGGCGTAAAACTTTGTGAACCTCGAGGTGCAGATTTCGTGGCAGGCGTAAAACTTTGTGAACCTCCATGTGCTGATTTCGTGGCAGGTGCAGCACTTTGTGAACCTCCAGGTGCAGATTTCGTGGCGGGCAAAGCACTTTGTGAACCTCCATGCGAAGATTTCGTGGCAGGTGCAGCACTTTGTGAACCTCCGTGGCAGGTGCAGCACTTTGTGAACCTCGAGGTGCAGATTTCGTGGCAAGCACAGCAATTTGTGAACCTCCATGTGCAGATTTCGTGGCAGGTGCAGCACTTTGTCAACCTCCAGGTGCAGATTTCGTGGCAGG